CTTCTCCACGGATAATAAGATGAATGTTTGTAGTTGTTCCTCCTAACTGAGGTCCTCCAGTCGCCATAATAACTTTGTTGCCCTTCTCTGGACTCTCTCAAGCTCCAGCACATCCTTCCTGAGGATTGGTGACCAGAAATGGACGAACCAGAGTTTTGTAAAGTGGGAAGATTATAAATTATAATCTATGTTATTATAATCTATTTTAAATACCCTTTTTTATGCAATATAATCTGTTTCATTTTGGTTGTCTTTTTTACAGTGACAGATGTAATGTAATAGAATTTACAGATGAACTCTTGACTTCAATTTTATTTCCATGTTCTGTCCTCCAGGAGACAAAGTACATGTGCTTTGTAAACCTAGCTACTAGGTTGGATAGGGTGACCGCCCTCCCCTGTGGCTGTCTGACAACGTAGCTAGCAAGGAGATGGCTACTTGATAGCCAGTGTTTTTCTCAGCTCTAACAACTTGCTTGAGACAAGTGCTGGCAAGTGCTTAATTTCCCTGGCTGCCAATTGTCTTGGGCAGCCATCTCTATGCTAGCTATGTTGTCGGACAGCCGGGGAGGGGAGGCACCGTGTCAGACCTTGCAGCTAGCAAGTAAATGGCTGACATGGTAACCAGTGCTTTTCTTAGCTCCAGTAAATTGCCTGAGACAAGCAATGGCAAGAGGAATGCAGATGATGGGAGGCTGACAGATTCCACCTCCCTCTTCATTCCTCTTGCCACCGCTTGTCTTGAGCAAGTTGTTAAACTCAAGAAAAGCACCGGTTATTAACTGCTTGCTTGCCGCCCTATAGTAGAAGTACGGCTATAGGGCGGCAGGGCACTATGATTTGCATTTCCGGGTAGGGAGCGCGCGTGCGCGTCGCCATTGGCAGCTGCAGATGTCAGACACCAGGTCCCAGGCCGGAGAATCCCCGCTGGCACCCAGTGATTGTTGGGGAAAGATGACAGGGAAGAGCCCTGAGTGTAAAAACACAGGTCTCTCTCCTGTCAGCAAGGACATGCTGCTTTGTATTTGCACAGCAGAGAACTACAAAGCAACACGTCTCCATAGTAAAACACTAAGCACATAATGTAAAATAGCACACAGTTAACCCTTTGATTGCCCAAGATGTTGACCCCCTTCCTGCCTAGTGTCATTAGTACAGTGTCAGTGCTTTTTATTAGCACTAATCACTGTATTAGTGTCATTGGGATGTCAGTGGCAGTTAGTCAGTTCCCACCCTGTTTCAGAATGCCCAGGGCTCAGTCACACAGTCCCGCAGTCCCGCTGATTGCCGCTATTACTAATATAAAAAAAGCAGACGCTATAACTTTCACATAAACCAATTAATATACACTTGGGATTTTTTATCAAAGACATGTAGCAGAATACATTTTGGCCTAAATTTATGAAATTTGATTTTTAAAATGTTTTTTACTGGATATGTTTTATAACAAAAATATAGTTTGTTTTTTTTAAATTGTCTGTCTTTTTGTTTATAGCAAACAAAATAAAAACCGTAGAGGTGCTCAAATTCCTCCAAAAGAATGTTCTACTTGTGGGCAAAAAAGGACATAAACTTAATTTATGTACAGTGTTGCATGACCACGCAATTGTCAGTTAAAGTAATGCAGTGCCATATCGCAAAAGATGGCCTGGTCAGGAAGGGGGGTAAATCCTCTGGAGGGCAAGTGGTTAAGCAGTTGTCTCCTTCCTAGCCATGTTGTTGGGTGGCCATGGGGGAAGGAAGACACCTTGTAAGATCTCATAGCTATGCTTACAAAGCACATAGAAACATGGGATAAAGTACTACAGGCACCTTGTCTCTGGAGGATAGAACACTGAAAGCAAATTCTTTCTGCTGTCTTACTGTGCATTAATCCTCTCCAACCCTTTTCCCCAGTGCACCTATACATTATAAAATGTCCTAAAAAAAAATCACAACTGAGATCTTTCCAGTGCTAGTTACACAGTCTTAGATGAATTGGAGAATAGGCGCTCAGGCAGAGCTGTTTATTGGCTGGCTGTGTATCAATGCCATTACCATTAAACCTCTTATGTGACGGGCACCAGAAGAATCTACCTATTTGTTGCTGCTGTTCTCCTCTGACATTTTTCAGTCACTTCCTGTCTAGATACACTCATCAGGATTGGCTTCTTGATGGTGTGAAAACACTGGACCAAGCCTGGACAATGTTTGCTGATATAGCTGCTTGAAGCCTCTATAGGGGGCACTTGTGACAGGGTTACATAGTTACATAGTTAGTCTGGCTGAAAAAAAGACAAAATTCCATCCAGTTCAACCATTAAAAAAAATATACCCACAGTTGATCCAGAGGAAGGCAAACAAATACAGCAAAGCACGATGCAATTTGCTCCTGCAGGGAAAAAAATTCCTTCCTGATCCCCCCGAGAGGCAATCGGGTATTCCCTGGATCAACTTTACCTATAAATGTTATATCCAGTTATATTCTGTGTATCTAGGAAAGAATCCAGGACTTTTTTTAAAGCGATCCACTGAACTGGCCAGAACCAACTCTTGAGGGAGTCTATTCCACATTTTCACAGCTCCCACCTTTCCGTGTTTGGAGATTACATTTCTTTTCCTCCAGACGTAAAGAGTGCCCCCTTGTCATCTGCGATGACCTTAGGGTGAATAACTCTACACCGAGTTCACTATATGAACCACTGATGTATTATACATGTTGATCATATCCCCCCTTAATCTCTCTTCTCAAGAGAGAATAAATTCAGTTCCTCTAATCTTTCCTGACAATGCAGGAGAACAACTGGGAAACAGTGTTGTCACCCTATAACAGGAAGTGCCTGAACAACGCCCTAAATGCTACCTAAATGCTAGGATCATTAGATACTTGTATGTAAGCTACATTTTTAAAAAGATTGGAAGCAACTTTTGAAATTACCTAACATGTTAAAGCTTATATGAGGTATTAGTGATTGAAATTTTGACCCTTTGACTGCTAATGACATGTTCTACATGTCACGGCAATCAAAGGGCTAAAACAAGTTCAAGGCTTAAGAGCCGCTTGATCACTTTTGATTAGCATGGTTGTCCACCCTTCATCCCTACCAGATATCCCTCCAGTGGATCCCAGAGCTTCTCTGCTCCTCCGTTGACCACAACAAGGATTCTCAGGGTGGTTTTGGGAGCAGAAGGAGGAATACCCATTTCCTGATCTGCTCTACGATTATTGAACCCCGATGTTCTCAGCTTGAAGCATCTTTTAGCAGCTCTGGTCAGGAAAACAAGGAAATTGAGCAGTTTGTACTTAAAGTGGCTGTAAAACTCAGGGTCTCCTGAGGTTATCTTTAAAAAACAATTCTAAACGCAAACGTGCATAAATGCGGCTAAACCGATGTTTTTTAACCTACGTTTTCTAGCAGTCAGTTTCCAGTGGTCAGAAGAGTTTTCCAAACACCCCGTATACATGAGCCCTAAAGGTGGGTGTGCACCTTCCCTCAAATCAGCTTTCAGAGCTCTCCTCAATGAGCTCTGCAGTGTGTAATTTCAGCTCTCTTCCCCCTGCTCTCTGAAAGCTCAGACAAGCTTTATAAATTCTGGACTTGGGAACAGCAGACTGCAGATAAAAAAAGTACAACTTATGCAGGAGGATTTAATTCATCTCTGTGTGTCATATGAGGCCAGTCACTTTACTGAGTACATGCAAGAGTTTATTACTACTTTAACTTCTTGACTGCAGTGTGTGTGAGTATTACTGGTCTAATAGAGCCCTGATGTATCCATAAAGGGAACCTATGACTTCATACATGCTATCACATAGGCTTGTCAGGCCCCTTGTTATAGCAATAAAGTTCGGTGAGAAAAGTTTAAAAAAAATGTGTTTTGGTATTGTTTTTTTTCTTTTACTTTTTTTGCTGTTTTGTGTGTACACACAATTTCATGGCTTTACATGTTTGGATTTTTTCTAAATTGTACAAAACAATTGGAAATGACAGTATATTGTTCTTGTAAGATCTAAAATCAAACTAAGGTTTATTTATTTCTTTTACTGAAAACAGGTTTGCTATTCAGCTGTGCAAATACTGTGTAACAAAAATTATCAACTTCCTTATTTTTATTCTACAGGTTCTCTGCTTTCAGAAAATACTATATCATGCTGTGAGCGTTTAAGTAACCTTCAGGCATAAAAATTTGAAAATGGAAAATAGAAAAGTGTGTGAAAAATAATAAGGATTAAGGGCCTCTATTACCATATGTAAAAAAAAAAAAAAAAAATAGTGAGGAAGTGTCAAGCTAGGGGGTATGGCATTATGCCATAGGTCAGTTTCTAACATTATTATTATTATACAGGATTAATATAGCATCAACAGTTTGCTCAGCGCTTTACAATATAACGGGAGATAATACAGCAACAATACAGTTCAATACAAGAGGGTTAAGAGGGCCCTGTTCCTTGGAGCTTACAATCTAAGAGGGAGGGGCTGGTGGTACAAAAGGGAGTAACATTGGGGGATGGACTGGTAGGAGGAGTAGAAGATTCCATTATTATCTGAGGGCAGGATAGGCTTCCCTGATGAGATAGGTTTTCATAGAAGCCTAAAAGTGAGCAGAGTAGGCGATAGTCTGATAAATTGGGGTAGAGAGTTCCAGAGGATGGGGGAAGCTCTGGAGAAGTCCTGGAGATGAGCATGGGAGGAGGTGACAAGGGAGCTAGAGAGCAGGAGGTTGTGCGAGGAGCGGAGAGTACGGTTTGGGTGATATTTGGAGACAAGATCGGTGATGTAATTTAGAGTTATAAATGACTTCATACGTTATTGTTAATGTTTTGAATTTTATCCGTTGGGCAACGGGAAGCCAGTGGAGGGATTGGCAGGGAGGGATGGAGGACACTGAATGGAGGCCAGTGAAGGGATTGGCAGAGAGGGATGGAGGGCACTGAGTGGAGGCCAGTGGAGGGATTGGCAGAGAGGGATGGAGGACACTGAATGGAGGCCAGTGGAGGGATTGGCAGAGAGGGATGGAAGACACTGATGGAGGCCAGTAGAGGGATTGGCAGAGAGGGATGAAGGACACTGAATGGAGGCCAGTGGAGAGATTGGCAGAGAGGGATGGAGGACACTGAATGGAGGCCAGTGGAGGGATTGGCAGAGAGGGATGGAAGACACTGAATGGAGGCCAGTGGAGGGATTGGCAGAGAGGGATGGAGGACACTGAATGGAAGCCAGTGGAGGGATTGGCAGAGAGGGATGGAGGACACTGAATGGAGGCCAGTAGAGGGATTGGCAGAGAGGGATGGAGGACACTGAATGGAGGCCAGTAGAGGGATTGGCAGAGAGGGATGGAGGACACTGAATGGAGGCCAGTGGAGGGATTGGCAGAGAGGGATGGAAGACACTGAATGGAGGCCAGTGGAGGGATTGGCAGAGAGGGATGGAGAACACTGAATGGAAGCCAGTGGAGGGATTGGCAGAGAGGGATGGAAGACACTGAATGGAGGCCAGTAGAGGGATTGGCAGAGAGGGATGGAGGACACTGAATGGAGGCCAGTAGAGGGATTGGCAGAGAGGGATGGAGGACACTGAATGGAGGCCAGTGGAGGGATTGGCAGAGAGGGATGGAGTACACTGAATGGAGGCAAGTGGAGGGATTGACAGAGAGGGATGGAGGACACTGAATGGAGGCCAGTGTAGGAATTGGCAGAGAGGGATGGAGTACACTGAATGGAAGCCAGTGGAGGGATTGGCAGAGAGGGATGGAGGACACTGAATGGAGGCCAGTGTAGGAATTGGCAGAGAGGGATGGAGTACACTGAATGGAAGCCAGTGGAGGGATTGGCAGAGAGGGATGGAGGACACTGAATGGAGGCCAGTAGAGGGATTGGCAGAGAGGGATGGAGGACACTGAGTGGAGGCCAGTGGAGGGATTGGCAGAGAGGGATGGAGGACACTGAATGGAGGCCAGTGGAGGGATTGGCAGAGAGGGAAGGCAGCTACAGAACGGTTAGTAAGGTGGATGAGTCTGGCGGCAGCATTCATGATAGACTGTAGAGGGGATAGCCTGCGATGAGGTAGGCAACTGCAAAACATTCTTACTGTTTTACAGCAGCCCTGGATTGAGATTGTGTTCCATGAAATGTATAAAGGGTAGAACTGAGGCTGGGGTTACGTGGGCAATGTGTGCTAATACATGTTTTAATCTATCGGACAAATATTGCAGTAAGTACATATTTATTTCACAATGGATGCCACTATGGTAAAGTGATCTTTATAATGTGTATATATAATACTACCTTTCAAATATTATTAACATATGGAAGAGTGTCCATTTAACCCTAGCCATGTCCTATCAGTCCGTTAGTATCTGCAAGCGGGTGTTGAAGTTTTATTGTGAAATGTAATTACTGCTTTTTTATATATTACTTATATTGTCATAACGATGTAATTTACAAGACAAAAGAAGTAAAACGGAGCCCACGTACTTGATGAATAAATCCTGAGAAAATAAAACTTACACATGAGCACAGATTCCATGCGCCATTAGTTTAATCCCTGTTCCTTCAAAAATGTTTTAATACATGCCTTTCTCAAGGACGGGGAATTAACCGACCTTCACCGTTTGCTCAACAAAAACACTGGGGAGCCGAGAGGGGATAAATATACGCACCATATTAGATAAAATAATCTTTTAGGCTGGTTGTACGGGCAATGTCTGGAAAAATAAAGAAATTGTTAAAGGGAAAAAAATAAAAGCCAGAATGTGTAAGGAGAGCTGAAGAGAACAAGATCGGAAACTATCACGGTGTTTGAGAAAGAGGAATGACATGATTGGCAGGGAAGGTTTATAAGTGCAACAAGGGAGATGCTTATCCCTAGTAAGTCTCCCGAGGAATGGCCAATCATCACAACAAGCCCAGTCTGACGCCATCTGGCTAACAAGTCACCGAGCAAGAATCTGCACCATAAAAATTAGAATGTGTCCTAATATGGCCTAACCTAAATCACTGAGCTGTCACTGCACACAATTCTAACGCAACACATTCAACAAAGCAATGTAGAGAGAGGCGCTGCATTGACCGACAGCCAATCAGATGTCAGTGTGGTAGAGTAATGCTGACCATACATTATACAATTTTCTTTAGAAAATTGCTTTACATTTACCAAAAATCATATAATATGAGGTCAAACCTAAACAATACTTTCAATTGTATCCAATTAAACAGGCCCTTGCACTACATATTTGAAGGTAAATCAAATCAAAAGGAAATTGGGTAGAAATTGAACAGAAAATTGTATGGTGTATGGTGAAACAGGGGGTTCTTAGTGGTTGCCATGGGTTACTGAGCTGGTCATTTTTTTAAGCTAAATTAAAAGTTTTTAGTTCTCAAAATTTCAAAGAAAGCTAGGGGATTTGGGCAAAATTTTACCACTATGAACAGCACATTGGCATGAATTGGGGAAGGTAAAATTAAAGCGTATAAAAACTCAACGACAATAATGTAATGTATTGCAGTTTACCAGTCCTTAGATGTTGCGGTTGCATTAGATTTTTATTTCCCTTTATTTATGTCAGATAATCCTGACAGTAACACACTTCTTGTTCTAGGGTGACAACACTCATTCACTGTAGTGTATCTATGGAAGAACAGTGTTGTCACCCTTGGTTGCTCCCCTGATTTGCACACCTACATGGAATGTGTATATGAACATGTCCCCCTGTTGAGCTCTTATATTGACACATTATCCAGTACATATCTCTTTTCAGCCATCAATTTTGTTTTGAAGGAGCCTCTTGTTCTTCTCACCTTTAACTCTCCAAAAGGTAATAGTGGCATGCCCTTCCTCCTCTTCTAAAGAACCAACTTGGCACACCAGGTATATCTCTATCAAGGGAGCAGTGAGAGTGCATCCACCTTGCTATGCACATACCAGTCCACATGCCTTTCAACTTTGAATGGATGTGTCAAACACTGCCTGGCGGTACCTCTAGAGATCCACAGGACAGGTCTCCCCAGGGCGCGGGGTCTAAGTCCCAGTCTGCTTGTTCACCAGGGCCCCTGATGGTGGGGATGGACTTGGAGCAGACAGTGACCAGGTCGCGGCCCCTGAGTACACCCGCCTGTGGTAGAGGGATCCGCCAGAGGAATATACTGGAAGAGAGCCTGATGTGAAGAGGCGGATATGCCTGAGCAGCAGTGACCGGATCTGTGCAGGATGGATGGATGGATGGCAGAGTAGTGTAGCGTAGTCAGACACGCTAGGTCGGTAACAGTAGGGACAGCACAGTACAGCGTAGCAGACAAAGAGTAGTCGGGTCACACGCCGGGTTCAGTAACAGGAGGTCATATAAATAGGGATATCCAGGAGAGTAGTCAAATGAGCCAGGGGACAGAGCAGGAGATAGTCAGTGAAGTTCAGGATCAAGCATGGTCGGCAACAAATCAATCAGCAGGAACACACGAGCAGGAACAGGATAATAAGACCATACGGCAACTTGAGTCTGTACAGGGCTGGTTTAAATAGTGCGCCCTGCACTGTGATTGGTGCCAGGCGCACATCTGTGATCGCGAGTGCGCATGCGCGGCTGCTGCCGCAGCTGCCTAGGTCCTAACGCCTGCCAATTAGAGCGCATTGGCGTTCTGCACATGCGCAGACCCGTGCGCCACCGCGACTGCTGACAGGATGCTTTGGGCTGGGGTGTTTGGGGTTCCTAAAGTGCCCAGTGCTGACTGGTACCAGGCTTTTCAGCACTGCTGGTGAAGTGGTGTCAGCCATGTCACCCATGAGGGACAAGTAGGTGGTCTCCCCAACCCTGGTGAACCGGCTTTAGTGATCCTTTGGACCCCTCATCAGTCCACCAGTGACTAATCGATTTACCCCTTAAAGAATAACTAAAGGAATTTTTTTTTACAGATGTGGGGATAGAATAAGTGAAGGTTTATAACCCCTGTCAGTTATAATGCCACACATGTCCTATTGGAGAGATGTCCCTTCACTTGCTGTCCCATAGCCAAAAGTGAGAGAAAATCCCCCCTTACCAATTAAATCCCCAGTTGTCACAAATTTACCTAAAACTTGCGTCTCCATTGGAAGATTTCCCCTCATCCCCATTGCTCTATTCTGGTGACAACCTTTAATTTTGGGAATACATGCATTGACCCAACTGAGAGAGCGTTTGTATTTATATCCTAAAAAATAAGCTGTTAGTATGAAAACAATAAAAATAAAATAAAATAAATAAATATATATATATATAAGCACTATATTGCCAAAAGTATTGGGATGCCTGCTTTTACATGCACATGAACTTTAATGGCATCCCGGTTCATAGGGTTCAATATTGAGTTGGCCCGCCCTTTGCAGCTATAACAGCTTCAACTCTTCTGGGAAGGCTGTCCACAAGGTTTAGGAGCGTGTCTATGCGAATGTTTGACAATTCTTCCAGAAGCATATTTGTGAGGTTAGGCACTGATGTTGGACGAGAAGGCCTGGTTTGCAGTCTCCACTCTAATTCATCCCAAAGGTGTTCTATCGGGTTGAGGTCCGGACTCTGTGCAGGCCAGTCAAGTTCCTCCACCCCAAACTTGCTCATCCATGTCTTTATGGACTTTGCTTTGTGCACTGGTGTGCAGTCATGTTGGAACACGAAGGGGCCATCCCCAAACTGTTCCCACAAAGTTGGGAGCATGAAATTGTTCAAAATGTCTTGGTATGATGATGCCTTAAGAGTTCCCTTCACTGGAACTTAGGGGCCAAGCCCAACCCCTAAAAAACAACCCCACACCATAATCCCCCCTTAACCAAACTTTACACTTGACAAAATGCAGTCAGGCAAGTACCGTTCTCCTGGCAACTGCCAAACCCAGACATGTCCATCGGATTGCCAGAGAAGTATGATTCGTCACTCCAGAGAATGTGTCTCCACTGCTCTAGAGTCCAGTGGCGGAGTGCTTTACACCACTGTATCCGACAATTTGCATTGCACGTAGTGATGTAAGACTTGGATGCAGCTGCTTGGCCATGGAAACCCATTCCATGAAGCTCTCTATGCACTGTTGTTGGGCTAATATGAAGGCCACACAAAGTTTGGAGGATTTTAGCTACTGACTCTGCAGACAGTTGGCGTCTTCTGCTCACTGTGCGCTTCAGCATGCGCTGACCCCGTTCTGTCATTTTACATGGCCTACCACTTTGTGGCTGAGTTCCTGTTGTTCCCAGTTGCTTCCACTTTGTTATAATACCACTAACAGTTGACTGTGGAATATTTGGTAGCAAGGAAATTTTACGGATGGACTTATTGCACAGGTGGCAGCCTATCACAGTACCACGCTTGAATTTACTGAGCTCCTGAGAGCAATCCATTCTTTCATAGATGTTTGTAGAAGCAGTCTGCATACCTACTGTAGGTGCTTGATTTTATACACCTGTGGTCATGGAGGTGACTGGAACACCTGAATCCAATGATTTTGGAGGACGGGCCCAAAGCTTTTGGCAATATAGTGTATATACTGTTAGGTCTATATACATTTGGACACAGGCACAATTTTAGTTTTTTTCAGGTATTTACCAAAACATATTCAAGCTATAGTTATATAATGGATTTGGGCTGAAAGTGCACACTCTCAGGTTTAATGTGAGGGTATGTACATCCAAATTGGAGGAAGGGTTTAGGAATTACAGCTGTTAAGAGTAGCCATCCCCCCTATTTCAAGGCACCAAAAGTAATTGGACAATTGAATATAATCATAAATAAAATGTTAATTTTTTAATATTTTGTTGAGAATCATTTACTGGCAATAACTGCCTGATGTCTGGAACCCATGGACATTACCAAAGACTGGATTCCTCCTTTCTGATGCTTTGCCAGGCTCTAACTGCAGCTGTCTTCAGTTGTTCTTTGTTTGTGGGTCTTTCTGCCTTTAGTTTTGCCTTCAGCAAGTGAAATGCATGCTCAATTGGGTTGAGATCAGGTGACTGACTCAGCCATTGCAGAATATTCCACTTCTTTTCCTTCAAAAGCTCCTGGGTTGCATTTGCAGTGTATTTTTGATCATTGTCAATCTCTACTGTGAAGCACCGTCC